TTAACGCCTAAAAATATGTGCCCCATAGCTATAAACAAAATTTATACAAAAATTTATGCAAATTTATTTATTTTGTTTATAGTTAAATGGGACATATTGTTAAGCTTCGTTTTCTGCTTAAAAAGCCGCAGTCAACTCATAATTTTTGTACATAATATTATATTTCCACTACACTAAAGACTTCTATTCCGAGGAAGTAAAACAAAAGAAGACATTTTCTCAGAAATATTTTATGAGCAATTTTTTTCTTAAAGGAGATTAATTTCTTGTAATTTTTTCCAATGAATTGCCTATATTAAATACCATTCTGCATTAAACATATAGGCCCGTAGTTATAGACAAGTTAGAGGCAGGTTTTAACATTTAAAACTGTACATTAAGATAAACACTCTTTTAACACTGTCATAGGCAACTTAAAAGACCTTTTAACTTTAAAAGGATGTTTTAAATTTAAAATCAGGTTGACGAGGTTTTAAAATCTTAAAAGCGCACTCTAAGTAGACGTTTTACTGTCAAAATTTGCGGAGGAAATACAAAAGTGGTCTTAATTTGAAGAATATGCTTCCCAATCAAAGGATATTTCGAGATTTTGCGATTTTGGATGATACAATCGCAACCAGAAATAGGAAAACATACAAGGAACGCCAAGATCCTTTTCAAATGAAAGAGGAGGACCGTAAGTAGGTCTTTTCAGCAGCAGTCCAATTAACTTCACGAATTCTTTGCACTTCCTATAAAAATTAAATTATTTACGTTAATAAATTATATTTTACAAAAATTTGTTATTTACTTACAGTTTGCTGCGCCATTTTCAAAATTATTTATAAAAGTCAGTTGACACAGGGCGAACTTGCTAAAATAACAAAGTTTTCCTAATGCTGTTTTGTGTCAATCTAGCAAAAGCCTGCCTCTAACATGTCTATAACTGACTAGAACTTAAAGCCTGCTCTAAACTTAAAGATTAATTTTAACTAGAAGAGGATTTAACTTTCGACTATAACTACGGGCCATAGTTTTGGAGTTTAGCATTCCCACTTATGATAGAAAAAAAAACAAAATTTAATTTATTTAATTCATTAGGAATACCTTAATAGCCCAAAGTATCGTTATGAGTAGGTATCGATACTTTAGATGCGCTACTTTTCCGGTTCGATACTTTCTTTCGATATTGCTTCCAAGTAAAAGTATCGTTAACTGCATGGTATCGTTTCATTTCTAGTATTTAATAAGCCAATTAACAGTCAGCGGTGACACTAAAGAAATTAACGATTTAAAAGCGGCTATAAATTCAAAAGCGGCTATAAATGGTTTTGGATTTTCTTTAGAAGCAACCCTAGAAACGTATGCATGCACCTTTTTTTCCTTGACTAAAGGTAATGACAACGTTTAGTACTTACTGCTGTAATTTTGTATTTTTGTGTGCTGGTCTTGCAATACAAACTGAGCAAGTAATTACCGCATTGCTTCACATTTTAATTATCTCCTTTAACATACGTTTTTTCTCATTGACATTGAAGGCATTGAACAAAAATTCGTTCAAATATCTCTAATAAAGGTCCTGCAAATAAAGAATTCGGCGAAAATGTGTTTGCCATTCAAAAATATGCACCAAAACAAACAAATAACACCCACAGGTTCACACAAATGTATGCCACCACACTCACGCCGACCCAGTGACGACAACAACGAAGACATGAATTGGCTGCTTTATCTTACGACATTGTTTTTTTGTCGTAGTAATCACAAGCGGCTTTTAGAAAAATTAAAACCAGCCAATTCAGCGTTTTCATTTTTATGTGGGGTTTTTTGCGGTCTCACCCCCCTTGGCATGTTGACCAAATGACTGATTGCACTCGTGCTAGTGATGTTAAGTGAGAGTTCAAACTGAATTTTTTGAGTTCGGTATAGTGTAAAATAATCCCGAAACTTTGGGTTTCTTTCAGCAAAGAATTCTATGAAATAATTTTGAAGCCTTAATATGTGTTACATATAAATGGCGTTTCCTGCGTCAAGTTTTTGTTAAATTTAAAAAATCTGGATATGGTGCATGACAGATATTGTCAAACAAGTGCTGAAACGTTTAATTTTTATATTGTTTAATTTAATTGTATATTATTTTAAATTATTTAATTTTTATTATATTTCAATCTTTTTTTATATGTATTTTAGTTTTATTTTATTTTGCTATATTATTTTTTTTTATATTTTTGTTGTGCATTTTAATTTTTTGTATTTTTTAAATTGTTTAATTTTATCTTAAATTATTTCGTGTTTATTATATTTTAATATTAACTTTTGACATTTTTTAAGTTTTTATGTCTTCTTATTTTTACTTTTTCTTTAGTTTTCCAGTTTTTATTTAATTTTTAATTTTTTTTTATATCTTTATTTTTTATGTTTTATTAATTTCAAAGTTTCACTAAAAACCATCGGGATTTTCAACGCTAACACGAACAAATAGTACAGGTTTTTCCTCATATTGCTGTTTACTCAAAAACATATCAGCTCGCGTCCAAACAAAACTGTGCCCGCTATGAGCTTTTGTTGTGAGTATTAGAAAATCGATATCTGAAAACCATGAATTACTTATTTCTGGATAGGCAAGGTCAGTACTTGCAGCTTAGTTAAATTTTTGCTAAAATCCTTTGCAGTGAATGGATTAGTTTTTTTTTGCAGAAAATATAAAGATACGCAATGGATTCATTTAAAGGGGAGGATGAGAGGCTTTATTGGACTCAGCCAGAGGGGTACAGAGCAAATTAAAAGTAAGAAGAATATGAGGGCTTTTATACAGTTGGTGTGGTTTAAAGCGTTTGGACAATTTTTTCTTTCTATGTAACGTTGCTCATACGCCATGTTGGTTTCTTATTACACCGTTGATTTATTAATGACTTCCAACTAAAATTTGTTTTGAATAAAGTGAAACAATACAACCAGATTCTTTAATATAATTAATTAGTTATATAGCGAAGGCTATTAATTCTGGATATTACTCAAAAAAGATCCTACTGAGGAGATAACGAACAGAGCATTGCCCTGATAAATACCCAGTGAGATTTTAGGGATCCTAGCCTTTTTAGTTTGGAAGATAAACTGCTTGGCTTGTTTCCTTCTTCCTGACAACTATGTGCTTTGGTTAGCCGACAAAATAGTTACTGGCCCTATAATACTATGGTACTTCTGTGTTTTTTTTTTCTAGGCGGGTTGCCCTTTCTTAGTCATGATGTCCCCATGCCTTAGTACTCCGCCGAGTAAATAGTACCGTATTATTGGTTCTTGAGGGCTAAGGCAATCGGCATGTATGGCTTCAGTGCTAGTAAAACGGCCTAACTGTCTGACATAATCGAGATGTATTTAGAAAATGTGCATTTGAAATGTGGCCTTTTCTGCCAAAAATTTCTCTTTACTCGAATCTTGCTAGCTATCAATTTATATTGATTTTATGAAGTTCGGACCAACCTATGCTAAGCCATATGTATTGATTTCACGGTAGGAACACTAAGATGACATAAAAAACACCGAGACATGTAAACTTAATTTTGGGAGTAGAATCTGTATACCGTTTTTCCATATCAGGTAATTTTTCTAATATATTTTCATTTACGATACCGAAGTATAAAGTAAAAAATACTTGGTATCAAAAGATACTTTATGGGGTATTTACTTGCAAAATTTCAAACAAGTTTTCAAAACTGAGTACGTTGAGAGTATAAATGTTGCTACAAAAGGGCCAAACTGGAACGAAAGTATTGACAACAAAAGGTTTGGAAACGTTTCCGTAAAGAACAAAATGCGAACGAAATTCTCGAAAACGTTGTCAAGGAGGATCAAATAAGAAGAACAAATCGAGAACAAAAGTTTTGAGTACAGGGACGTATGCGTACTGAGATGGAAAATGGTATCAACGAGAACCGCGATCGTTAATTTTAAGCCAGAAGAAATCTGGATCATTTCAACTTCCAGATCGTTTGTCATTAGAATGAGCTGTGCATTTAGTTTAGTATTCAAACAATTAAAACTAATGAACGCTATGTGAAAATTTTTCTTCTCGCTTCCATTATTCGCGAACAGTTCAGAGAAAATTTGCTCCCGTTTCGTTCTCTTTCAGAAAGTTTCTCAGACTTTAGTTCCCAAATTGTTCTCCGAGAGAAAGTTCCTTATACATTTTTCCCCCGGTTGCTTTGCCAAAATGTTCCGGAAACTTTTGTTTGTTTGTTTGTTTTGTTTTGTTTGAAATTTTTTCTTAAAAATATTCCCGAAAGTATTGTTTTCTTATATAGTTCCCATTGAGAACCTTCTCGGCAGTTTTGTTCTTATTTTGGTTTTGGTTTCTTAGGCACAAAACTACGAGAACGACATTGAGTTTCGATCATAATTTTTGTTCTCGGTCCCTGTTTTTTACTGCAGTAGCGTAATTGGTATATTCGAAATTCAAAAGTACTTCCCTTTATAATACAAAATTTATTTACGTATATGCATGTAGGGAAAATTTTTAGAAAACAATAATTTAAAAAAATTTTGTTTGTGTGATTTTCGTTATTAAATTAAGCTTCATGCAACTGAATAAAATTACCTCTTATTGTTATCAAATCCCAAGAAAGTCTTGAAACAGTCCCGCTGCTGTAAAAGTTTTCACAAATTCTTTACCCACTCCTTGGTATCACTGAATGAGTGCCACAATACCGCCTGAATCCATTTGAATTCACTTCCAATTCAATTTCAACTTTAATTGCCTACAAATTGAAAATATGCTACTGCAAGTTGCTGCTGCACAATAAAGTTTCAAGAAAATCGTTGAAAAAAATACTCAGCTTCAGATATTTACGTAGCAGCCGCAAAAATAGCTTTACACTCATAATTCAAATTATCTTTTTGCCTAACACTAATCCTTTTTTGTCTGCACCTTTCTTCTCTTTTCATGTTATTTCACCGATCACACCATACGCACACACAAACACACACCTGAACGCTTTACGCACACAGGCGTCATCAACCGCGGTGATTCGTTTCGACGTCGTCGCTCGCGTAGCAACAGTTTGGCGCCCATAAGTCCAATCCATCCGCGTTCTGGCGCTGGTGGTGTTGGCATTAGCGGCAGTGTTGGTGGCGGCATTAATGGCGATTATTTGAGTGCACAGGAGGAACCACAACAGCAGCAGCCAGTCGAGGTGTTTCGTGTCGATATGCTCGGTGCGCCTGGTGTGGGTAAACAAGCGTTAATACAGCAATTCCGGACGTCCGACTGTATTAATGCGTACGATGGACCAGGTGAGTGGAAGAAAGGAATATGGAAAAAGTGAAGAATAGATAAATAATTTCATAGTGAGAGAAAAAAATTAGAATAAAACATTAAGAAAAAAAATGTTGATTTAGAAGAGAATAAATGTGTTGCTTGTTTTGGACGATTTATGATTTAAAAGACGCACGAGGATTGAAATAGAGAAAAGTTAAGTATAAAAGGGAGATGAATTTAACTTATGTACATAGGGTCCTGGGTCCTCGGTAGATAAAGCCCTCCCCTTCTTCAAAGTTATAACTGTCAACAGTGACGTATGTCCCAATACGCGAAGACTCTTTGTGGGTTTCCGGGAGGTAGTTTGTATTGACCTCGATCACAGCCTGACCAACCTGTTTCGCCTCTTTCTAATAAATAATGTTCTATCAGCCCTGGTACTAAGACCAACGGTATCAACATTATCTGCTTACAAAAGCAGCTGTATATGATTACGCTTTCCAACATCAATTTGACGAACTCGCACGAGAGTCTTGTTTGTCTAAAACCTCTTTTGGTGTCGAAGGGCGCGGAGGGTCATTTCCAATCCGCTATTTACTTACGTAGCGGTATATAGTCAGCGAAAAATGTGAATGCTTTCTGCAATCAATGGTAAATTTTCTAGGCCTAAAGTTACACTGATAAGATCCCATTAGATGGTGTATGAAGGGTTTTATATAGCATCCACGATTGCAGAGCAAAATCTCTGCAGCTCAAATGCACCTGAAGAGATCTCAGGTTCGGTCCCTCGAAAATTCTGGACACTAATTCAAAAACTATACCCGGTCTGGATTACGCCAGTCTCTTGTTTTGCTTTGAAAACGGGGTTTCTGTTCGAAATCTATTGAGAGAAACGAATATTAAGACCCCAAAGACCTGGGTCCACCAAGCTCTACCACCACTTTTAAAATTGGCTTAAAACTGAACATTAAGGTTGGGAAGCATTCGAAAGTGCTCTCCCTAAACACCAAACTACGGCTTTTCGACGATTACAGCATCTTTGAGGCCGAATCAACAGCTCTAAAGGAAGCCGCCATCTGGCTCAGTTGTACCGCAACCAGTCAGACAGTCTACCACCAACTACTCTGACAGTCAATCTGCGATTAGATCCCTAAAAGCAAGAGCAACTCTTCGAAGGAGCAATCGAATTTGGAATTTGTGAAGATTTTCAATAAATTAGTTGGGAAAATGGCAATACTTGGCTGTTCTTGACTCTGTGGATATCCTCAGTCTTCAACGCTTCGTAAAGAAAACAAACTGGTTCCACCACCTGAGAAGTGAGTGAACAGAATATGAGCTCGATCAAAATGCATCAAAATGAGCCATATCGGTCTAAGTGTGGATCCCTGTCGGTAGTACAGGCTTCAGCCACCGTTACCTCACCTTGCGAAGGCTTGCTTATAGACAAAATTTAATCCCATATTTGATTACTTGCGTATTTATTTAGATTTTTAATTTTACATAGAGCCCGAATATGCGTAACGAGAATGTAAAAAAGCATCGACCCTATCAAATTTACTTCTAGTCGCAATTAAAATTGCATTCAATTTAAATTTTATTAAAACGAAACGAAAACTTTATTACCTAAGGAATCTAATGCCATACACTGCGTTCACTTTGTGGCGGCAAATTTTCACACCAATAAAAATTAAAAATAATTTCACTGAACACCTGTTGCAATCGCAAATGCACAACGATATGTTGTCCAGTTGCGTCACAATACCGCACGCTGCAATGCCTTGGCTACGAGCACGAAATGCCACTCGCGCAAACGATTTGTCCACTTTAACTCGAAATTAAATCAAATATGTTTGCATATTTTAAAATTATGTGTGCAACATATGTATGTGCGAAAACGCGCGTACATTGCATTCGCACGCAAAAATAATTTGATTAAATTGTCACTCATACGCCGTGGTGTGTGATTGGCCGTTGCTGTTGTCGCTGCTGGGCGAGGCGTTATTTGCAGTGAGTGTTGTGCGGTTGAGCTTATTTAATTTTTAATAAATACATGTGTGTGTGTGTGTGTGTGTGTGTGTTCAGTGGCCAAACGCAGTCCACTCATTTGTGTCAGTGGTTTCTCCTCAAATGCCGCCGATTCAGCTGTAGTTGGTGATAGCGCGTGGGCGTACGCCGCGAACACCCTTGAAAAATACATACATACATACATACATACATACATACAAATGTGCATATTTTCCTATAAATTACCAACTGCAACAATCAGTTTTTCAATTCCAAATTACAACCGCAAGATTTATATACACAATTTGTCGCGTTGCGGCAGTGATCGGCAGCGGCGACGGGGACTGCCCGAACAGTTAATTTTCTCGTCTCTTTTAATGTCTGCCAGCTCATTGTCAATGCAATAAGGATGTTTTTTTTTTTGCTATTAATGCTTTTTTGCACTAAACAAACCCATTAAATTTCGTTGTACAATCTTGAAATGTCACACACAGTCTGCGAGGACAAGTGACTTTTTCACACCATTTGCTTTGTACACTTTTTTTCCATCATTTCTAAAAATAAATTCACTAACTTTTGCACCATTTGCCTTTTTCTTCTTGTTACATTTTTCCGTCTTTTCCAGAATGTGACGTGGCGGAGCAGAATATTTCAATAATTCTAAATGGCATCGAATCGGAATTGAAGTTCTCGACGGGCCAGCAGGATAACAAGGTAAGTGTAATGGCGCAGCAGCAATAAGCTAATTGAGTGGAATGTTGAAAATAAAGGATTGAGAGCAAAAAAAAA